TTTGCTCTCTGTTTATATACAGTAGCTTGACCTCCTTAATCTCACAAGTGGACAGACACAACCACAGTTTCAACTGGGAAACTGGGAGCATCCTAGACCAAGCTAAATCCAAAAACACAAGGGAATTCCTGGAAGTTGGATATTGACAAGTCAGCCATCAACAGGCACACAGAGATAAACAATATCTACACACTATTCAAAAGAGACAATAAAAAGGAAACAAAAAGACCAGAACACCTCCTCGCCAGCAATCGACATCCAGATAAGCAGGGATTAACACCAGGATTAACACCAGACAAACAATCGAGTGGTAAACAATACCTTAATCAAGGAACTACCAACTCAGACAGACAATCAAGCAGTAAACAACAGCCTAATCAAAGATTAGGAGAAAACCACACCCCCACCAACACTGACAGGGCAAGCTACTGTATATAAACAGAGAGCAAACCCCACTCCCTTCTAGCACTGAAGATGTTACCTAGTTGGGTGATGAAACGTCTTCAAAGAAACAACCAAGCTCAGAGCACCCTAAGGACTCCACAAATCCTAGTTTACTTTCAAATTGATGAATCTAATCAGATGGTGTTGAAGCTTGGCTCTTGGGAATGGCTGTGGGTGGGTGATAAGGTACCAGTATTGCATTCAAAAGTTGGATCCCAGCATTTCCAAGTTGGGCTAGGAAGAATAGTTTGGCTATGTTGGTTCAGATGGTCCTTAGCTTGTTGGATCCATCAACTGACTTAGTATAAAAGCTGGTATGTTGTAGTGGGTAGTGTAAGACAATACTGGGGAGTTACAGGAAGTGGTGGGGCCTTTTGTCAAGCCTTAGTGCTGGCTACTGTGTTGGAAATTCTAGCTAGGAGGGAGAGGTATATTTAACCTTTAGCTCGATGTAGGTGTAGAGGGGTATGGAGGTAGCCTTGAAAAAGAATACAAAACAATACAGGACAAGGGATTCAAAATATTAGAGAGACTCCATCTTAACAAATTCACTAATCAACAAGAGCTGGAAGTTCCTATCATTCCTATGCTCGGGCACTATGTTCCAGGGCTTCTTCAGCCCTGGGACAGCCCTTCAAGGATTGGAAGACTGTGATTATGTCTCCCCTTCGCCTTCTCTTCTTTAGGCTAAACCAGTGTTTTTCAACCTGGGGGATTCTGGGAGTTGAAGTCCACACATCTTCAAGTCGACAAGGTTAAGAAACTGGGCTAAACAAACCATTCTTCTTAGGATGTCGCCTCCAAGCCCTTCACCGTCTTTGTTCCTCTTCTTTCCTTCTTCTATTGTGGTGGGCTTATGAGCTTCCTGGAGGCATCTGGTTGGCCATTGTGTAGCATATCTGGAGGTTCAGTCATGGCAACTGGACTTCTTTTCTTTTGGTCTGATACGTTTCGCTGCTTGTCCAAGCAACTTCTTCAGT